TTCCACAGTGAGAGTATCGCTTTCGAAACATCAAATGGAGAATGCGAATTCTCAATTTATTTCTTTATACATATATATCTATATCTTCGTGTTCATAAATATATCTGAGAATATTCCTTTTCAATAATACTGCTAAATTTTTTGCTATTCAAATGAACCCAAAACACTTGAATCAGGTAATAAAATGCTAATGTGGTGGACCCTTGGGTAGATCGAGATTGTGCCTGAACGATGAATAGTACATGAACTCTGTTATATTATGGTCATAATTCAATAAACACGAGCACAAATGACATGGACAAGGGTTACACTTGCTCTTAACTCGGCTGCCTGCCAAATACTATATGAACCAGTCTTCACACACGTCTGTCATAGGCTCTGATCTAAGCACATTCCACTGAGCAGTAGCGCATCTAGTTGCTAGATGCTAACAAGCTCAAAGAAAATATACCAACATAGCTCAAGAGCCGTCACGATTTATTTGGGCAGCAGTGTACATGGAACTCGTGACACTGACTTCATTCCCATGCCAACTCGATGTCGAATCGAGAGTGCCGTCTTCCTTGTGTAAACGTCGAACGACTAACGAGTTTCTAACTGGGGAGATCGGCTTCTGGAGAAGTCAGAAGTTAAGGTATGGTTTCCTTCATGCCGTCAGCGGCTGCCGTTGGAAGCATGCCGCCAAAGGCATCCACTACTTGAATTGAAAATACATACAAGCGGTTTCCTCGACGCAGTGCGTTCGCTAGAAGCGACCGCCGACAGCGTGCGTCTACGGTTGCACTGCTGGTCGAGGAGTCAAAACGCATCGCAAAGTGGCCGCGGCGTATTTCAACTTGTAGTCGACTCAATAAAATGTCTACACTGAAATTTTCGGCACGCGAAGATGAAAATTTAGTTCATGCAAATGTTCATTCACTTATTTACATACTGTCTGTAGGTTATTTACATACAATTTATGTGGTTGACAAACGAGGTACATATCTATTCTGCCAATCTAATGCTCCGATTCCTCCTCTTCTTGTAGCAAAACGAGGCAAATAGCTTTCCTTTTCTGATCATTCCTCATTTCGCACCCCGGCGACATAATACAACCATCCATGGACGTTGATTAAAGATAAAATATATACTTTCGACGGTGTAGGGGGAACCAGCCAATCAAACCGTCAGCGGCAACCTCCAGCGGCATGCTTCCAACGGCAGCCGCTGACGGCGTGAAGGAAACCATACCTTTAGACTGGTGCTGGTCGACCGTGCTGTGCTCCTTGGGGAATATTCGCGGTATCGGTTCATCAAACTCGAATAACGAACATTTGATAGCCGAAGAAAAGTCTCCGGAAGTCACATAGACACTGCAACAGGGATAAATTGGGTGAACTGAATTGAATCAGCGAAATAGATTTGTTCCACAATCCACACTAACTTGGGAAATTACCGTTTTCTGAGTAGGTGATTACTCTATTACCTGAGGTAAATAATGATATTGAAAAAATACCTATTTAGAACTGTCGATATGTAGTGAGCGTATCTATCGTAGTATATGCCTATATACAGGGTGGTTCAGGTTTCAAGGTACGAACTGAAATTGATAGATCTCATCATTTTACAAGGAAAAAAAGTTGTAGATTTCAGCTTCATGCTGTGCTAAAATCTGAAAGTTTTCAACAGGAATGAATAAGACACTTCACCATTCTTTTGGAGTAATCAAATATCTGTCAGTCTAATTCTGTGATTTGATTATCAAAAATTGCGGATATAGTGGATGTGCAGTGCCATCAACAGTGTATATATAATCCAAGAAAAAAGTATTCACTTTTTCCCGTGGGAAAAAAGTAATTTATGAAAAGGGACATTTTATCAACTGAAATTTCTCGCTCACTTCGAAAGATATCAAGTTCTTCAAAATCTACAGGGTGATACAGTTTCGGGGGTAGAGTCTTCTTTATCCCTCCAAACTTTTTTATAGTACGCCTTTGACGTCTTTCAGTTACCAAATAGGGTGGATCGTGAAATTAAAATTATTTTTTTCTCCTTAGTGTTATTCTAGAGACGAATTGTTTTCTAGATAAATAAGGAAAAACATGTTCACTCTGAATTATGAAAGCATAAGCTACGCATGATGATAATTTTGTTTTTGAATGTATGACAAACTGATATTCATCATACAGGACGTCGTAAGAAATCCAGAAGAATTTATTCCCAATTTCATATCATCTGAGTTCAATAAATATAATTCAATATACGTCGTGTCATATAGCTAGGAAAGTAGTTGAATATACCGTGAAATAATTAATATTTTCATGACATAGTGAATGCAAATTCTCAATGTATTTCTTTATACCAGCTGGCACAGACTCATGATATATCCCCCTTTTCTCCTCTCTTTTTTAACTATATTTCTGGCATTTGAAACACCGAATATGCTCAATAGAGGCCACTGTTTCACATTCTAGGAAATTTGTTTCATCTTCCAGTATTTCTGGAAATGACATCAACATTCGATTTCGGAATGGAACACCCTGGTATTTTATTCCATATTCCATTTCGAAGGATTACGAAGATATTTGCGATCGGAATTCCCCTAACATCAATGAGTGTGACAGAAACAGCAGTTTCAATATTGCGCCGATATAGATTAGAGAGAGAGAGAGAGAGAGAGAGAAAGAGGAAATTTTCATCAAAGATATACCTCGAAATGCCATTGACTGAAGTCTTACAACCCAAAATATAATATACAAAGTAGGAATAATAATAATAATAATAATAGTTCATTACTGATTGAAAGAAGAAAGAAAAAAAGGAAAAAAGTGTATTGCTTGCTATTCTGTTTGCTGCAGTTGGATCAGTCCTTGAGAAATAGTTATTTCTGGAAATTTTCTTCTTCTTAGGAAGTTATCCGGCAGCCCAATAACTTTTGAACTTGTGGAAGGTAGGTTAGATTTTCTTTGTTTTTTGAATAATAGAATACATGGCTTTTTTAGTTTCACGGATCAATCCGACAATGTTCGTGACTCTTAGTCAAACCAACTCTTCCAAATTATATGAAACGTGCGTGTCGTTCAATTTACTCCTCAAACATAATTACTGGCAGCTGTCATTATCATCAATTGAATCAACACGGATTCCAAAATAGTTAATAGAAAATGTCGCCGAGAGCACGCAAAATAAACAGAACAAAAAAATAGAGTTCATTATTTTTCTTGTCAACAGTGTTTACCTACACTGAATATCTTACAAGGTGATCTAACCAAGATATGGAATGAGTGAGTCGTAAAATATTTTTTTACTGTTCTGGTACTCACGGAAAGGAATATCCTGTAATGTAATGTAATGTTAATAGAACATCGTAAGAACCAAGGGAAATAAGGTAGGAATGAGTGTTCTTCTTAAATTTCTGGAGGTTATATGCCACGGGGAACACCTTCCTTGGCTATCTGTTCCAGAGCCTCGCTGTTAGTTGGATGAACGAGTCTTTGGAAAAAGATGTTCTGCAGGTCTCCAAAGTGACCACGAAGGGGTGCGGAGCTTCAACTCGACGGGTTAATCTCGCGGAGACTGCCAAGGAAGGAACGATTGTTGATATTCCAGAAGAGCATCGTCCATGGAAATATCTAAAAAATAGAGCCAGGTCGCTAACTTTTCAACGGTGTTCCAGAAAAGTGAGTGAGTTTGTGAGCGAGGCATCACCCACGAGACGAATTGCCGTTTTTTGGACAGAATGCAACAGTTTCAGGGTATGTTTGGTTGCTGCACTCCAACAGTATTCCAGGAAAGGTCGGATCTGTGTCTTATAGATCATAAGTAGCTTACTGGAAGTGAGATAGCTCCTGGCCCTTTCAGCAATTTATCTCACGTGATTTTCCCAAGAAAGGTTATTGCTGATAGTAATCCCAAGCATCGAAATGGATGTCTTCAAAGGTATGGTTACTCCTGACAAGCTTATGTTGGGCACAGTGAGATCGGCTTCAATGAAAAAAAGGCATGCGTGTGTTTTGTTTGCATTGAAATATACCAAGTTATTGGATCCCCATTCGAAAATTGTTGCCAAGTCCATATTTATGTTGTCAACATTTCTACCTCGTTCGTTTCTGATTTGCCTGGCTGCTATTGGATGGTATTGGAAAGAGAAGGCGGTATGGAGGGTACTATATCATTCGCGAAGCTATGTACTGGACATGAAGTTGCTCCCAACAAATCGTTGACATGGAGTAGAAATAGTGTTGGTGCTAGAATTGATCCTAGCAGAACACCAGCATTTATGGTAAGGGAGTCAGATGAAACTCCGTCGACCACTACATGGAGAGACCTGTTTGAGAAAAAACTAGCTAGCAGAGAAAATAGCTGGGGAGGCGACCCATAAGATGGAACTTGGCAAGGAGTCCGTGGTGCCAGACTCGATCGAATGCCTTTGAGATATCAAGTGCCACGGCTAAGGTTTCACCATATTTTTCAATAGATTGCTGTCATATAAGTGAGACACTTTGTTTGATAAATCTCGAGCAGCACAATTGAAATTGAAAATGCACTCAGAGTTTGCTTTGAATTGAAATCTTTAATATGCAAAACAACAAAACAAATACAGAAGATACTCAGAGAATGAAAATTGGTGTAAGTATATCAATAATAGTAGCTATACGTAGGCACAACAAAATTCGAAAAATAACAAAAGAATATGTACTGTAGATACGACCATAACTGAGAACGACTGCAATAGCTATAGTAAATAATAATCTTAATTATATCAATGGAGAAAGCTTGCGAAATCCATATGGAAAAAATATGTATCGCCCTGTATGAATCGATATCGAAACAACCGGATAATCGAGCAAAGTATCCTCGATAGATTTTCATTATTTTTCACATTTCCTGCTTTTAGCCTCTCGCAATAAAAATCCATTATTCCGCGTCGGTTCTCGTGCGTTCCATATATTTTTCAAATTATGTAGATAGGCTAGCGGTGGATAATTACGGATGATGGGGAGTGCGATGGAGTTCGAAACATGGGCGGGGCGGAAACGAGACAGGCTCACGCACTCCCGATCGCTCTCGATGTATGTGTACGCATTAACGAAGGCACGCTATCTATAAATCTTATATGACGTGTTATATTAGGTTTTCATGATGGGAAACAATGTTATCCTAAACAATATTCGGAAGGGTTCTTAAGGTGAGCTCCCAATGCAGCGTTTTTGCTTTACGCGTCGCTCGTCATGCAACCTGATTGGTGATGCTGAGTTTGAAAAATATTTGACGCGATGAAGTTAAAATATTTTAAGTTTTTGGCGTTGCTGCTTTGTGTTGAGTTGAGGTTATGTTCCAGAATGACACTTGATATCTCCAAGGCATTCGATCGAGTCTGGCACCACGGACTCCTCGCCAAGCTTTCATCTTATGGCTTGCCTCCCCAGCTATGTTCTCTGCTAGCAAGTTTTCTCTCAAACAGGTCACTCCATGAAGTGGTCGACGGAGTTTCATCTGACTCTCTTATCATAAATGCTGGTGTTCCGCAAGGATCAATTCTAGCACCAACACTATTTCTACACCATATCAATCATTCCTTGGAAGTTTCAACGTAATAATTGGTTCAAGACCAATAATTTATTATTGATTGGATTTAGCCATTTTCGGAGGAAACGGTGACAGATAGCGATTTTTACAAGAGTACCTCTTTTATGTGAAAGGCATTGGAGAATCATAATCACATATGAAAATGGTAAGAAATTGAAGCCTGAGAGTAGTAGGGTCAAATTTACCCAAATACCCCCCTGGTTTGTACGCCCCTGGTTAAAGGTGACAAAATCCGGAAGGCTCAAATTGATGAACCTACGAACTAGATTTTATGTCCCAAATTTGGTTGCGATAGCTGCAGTATTACCGAAGCTATAAAACGAAAAGTAGTTTTTGAAGGTCATCTTCAAAGGGCCCTAGCTCCCTGGAGAAGCATTTCCGGACCCATGTTCATATAAACTTTTTTTCTTATTTTCGTTTGTTTTATCTACCCTAAAAGTTTGTAACATGATCATCGAAACACCCTGTATATTGCATGATATTTCGGCAAATGTAAAAACTTCACTAACGATAATATTTCCACAAAATTCTCAAACACACGACATGTTTCGCTAACATAGTAGCTTCATTAGGTGATATACTGGTACAATGAACAGTTCATACTTCCAGGGATTCGCTTCCTATGATTCGAAGAGAAACCCGTTAAGATGACTGTCTTTGAGAGATATGTGTCCACTTGATATCGATGGATCAGTTCACGTAGATGCCCTGTACAGGGTGTCCCAAATTGCTTGATTTTGGCAGTTTTTCTCATTTCCAGAACAGCTAGGGAAAAACTAACCAAGGTGTGTAGAGCTCGATTTTTGTGAAACGTCGATGGATGGAAACCGCATTTTGATATTTCTAACCGTTTCCAAGATGTAGGCAAACATTAACATTTGAACAATTTCGAAAATATGTCAAAACATTAGAATCACAGCAAGAAGTGAGAAATGCAATAGCTCAAATAACACCTTTACAACTCTTAAACGAGAAATCAGTGAAGAAGAGATGCCATCTTTGTCTCGACCAAAATTGTGAACAATTCGAACACTATTTGTGATCTACTTGAGATTGAACCGTTGAGGAGTTATTACTTCACTGAATTAAATATTGAATATCAAACGTTATTCTCACTCTGCTACCAGTTTCTCAGTTTTCATCACTTGAGTCTCAAATGACTATTAATTTGCAGAAAAATCTTGCTGAATAGGTTAAAATGTCGCGAAACCTTCATTTTCGAAGAGAAATATGTTGTAGCAACAGCAAGGATGACTATTCATATCTTAACATATATATTTTTGGAAAGACTAATTTTTCCGATTTTCTGGAGTCTAAGGCAACTATGGTTTTCAATTGATATAACAACGTCGGCTTTGATATCAGACAATTGATACGCGATATTTGTTTCTTGATGTATCTCTTTCTACGTTGAAAAGTGCCTTCTGAAAGTTTTTTCCGTTTAAAAAAATATACAGAAATAGAAATGGTATGGCATATTTTCGAAATCAGTCAATTGTATATTTTCGCCTATATCTCGGAAACGGTTAAAGATATCGGAATGCGGTTTCCACCAATCAACGTATCACAAAAATCGAGCTCTAGACTCCTTGATGAGCTTCTCTCTAGCTGTTCTGTAAATAGAAAAAACTGCCAAAATCAAGCAATTTGGAACACCCTGTGCCTGTATACATGAACCGATGTTTCAGCTGCACAATGAAATACACCCGGAAAATAGATGCAGCATGCAATATGTACGATATGGCAGAGTCGTGAAAGCACAGTTTTAGTATTATAACTAAATACGAGGAACGATAGATATATTCTTAGATATATGTAGATATATAGATAGATAGTTTTATTGTTCCAAATACGAGCTTATAAAGCTATAGGACACGTCAGCACAAAGTACATGTATAAATAAAATATTTCTTATGAGTTAACAAACAATAGGAATGTAGATTAAAGGATAAGGTGAAAATATCTGAACAATGATAATTATCGATGATGAATTTCAGGTAAAATATTCGTTATAACAATGAAATAAAATTATTGAAAATCATACATCAAACATGTTCAAAGTACGATTAATACCCATCTGTAAAAAAGGTTTGGTTTTTTGGAATAGTATATTACATAACAAGAGTTGTAAAACGCATATTACGCACGAAGTGGAGAGAGTTACACACGATGCCGCATAGCGGCGAGTGTGTAACTCCACAAGTGCGTAATTGCTTTACAACTCGAGAATTGTACTATACTTTTTCTACGACTACACTATATTTTCTTCCGGATAGTGCAAATATTGCATTAAGGCACAAATAAAGAATACCTATATATACACTTCTCCCGTCACTAACCCAGCTGCATGAAAAGTAACAAATCAAAATTCTTGGATTTGTTTATTGATATACATTGCATACCGAGACATTTCCCTCAATTCGAACTGAAATGGAGCCGTTTTTCACATCTAAACAACTTTATTAATAGCAAAAAACACATTATACAAAAATATGAGATTAACATTCATAATGGTTACTTATTGTAACAGTGCAGAACGAGAGATTCTGTAATCGTTATTGAAAATAATAAAAAAAAGTTCTTCTATTGCGCTCTGAACCGCCGACCTTTGGGTTCGGAGCATATACGTGTTCGGAGCCAGCGCTTCCAACAACTGAGCCATCACCATTACTTGGGATCAGTTAGTAGATATCTTATAACTATGATTTCGACGATTGATCTTTTCTAAAATTATTCCTGTTATTTGAAGTAAAAGGAATTCATCAATTCAATGTTGAGTATATATGTTATTTGAAAAATTACCTTCATCAATAAATATTCATCAACAGGAGCAATCTGCAGAAAATAATTGATCAGTTCAGAATTAAGTATTTTCGGTTTTTTACTTCGGAATCCATCCGATTTCCTTTCGAGGAAATGGGATATGTTGCTATATTAATATTGTGATTGATATTTAGTGTTGATCGTAACATGGAATATATCGACCAGAGTGATGATGATTTCATCGAATTTGATAATTCTTGAAAATATACTAAAAGGATATGTTCCGAAAATGACACGGTATTATTTCTAATTCTCCAGTCCAGGAATTTTTAATGTGCTATTTCGTATCATTCACGAGACTTTTGGCGGGTATAGCAACTCATTTTCAGCCATTCTAGCTTTTTCCAACATTTCACGTGGTGTAGAAATAATCTGCTCATCGTCATAGCTACTGACATTAATGAAATAGTTAATTGTTATTGACACACCGCCTAAGCAAAAAAACAAAGTCATCTATCAACATACCTATGAAAACCGTGCGATCGCTCTCTTTACGCACACGTGTGTAAGGAGAAGCTTACTGCCATTCTTTTGTGTACAATATTCATCACTTACAGTAGTAGTCGTAGGAAAAATACATTGTATAATCTCAGTCCAATCATCTTGATTGATTTTTGGCAGATGGTGAAATGTGAATTTGGTAAATGGAAGGCATTCTTTCTCCTCGTGTTGTAATTGTGGTATTGGTTATTCGTGGAAAATCATCAGTAAGACAGGAGTACAACGATCATCCTGTAACACGCATCCCAGATTGTTCTCCAACCTCCCAATGATTCCTACATACACCAGCATATTTCCGAACACTCAATATATGCCGCAGTGACAAATAACGTGACAGAAGGTTCTGGAATGTTCTGGAAAAAATCGATGGAACAATTAGAGAGGGGGAGTTTTTGTTCTAAGAAGCTTCTAGAACAAAAAGAAGGAGAAGGAAGATCATTCGAGGACCTTCTTGAACCAAAGCCTTCCAAAGGATCTCATATATAAACGGCCGAACAACTGCCGTCAGTCAGTCAAGCCGCGAGTGTCAGAGAGACAGTCATGTACCGAGTGATATAAATCGTTTACATAAATAGTAGTTATAAGTTCGATATAAATTAGTCTTTCTCCAGTTCAAATAAATCAGTTCGAAAATAAATAGTGTCGTGTTCGCTTCTTCACCCGAATAACGTAACAATATAAAGGAAGTGGAAGAATTTCAAGTTTCCTGAAAATGTATCGACATGAAGTCTGCTGGGAGACTTTTGCAAGAGAACGTATTATTCGCTTTTGTGCGATGAATATATCTTTCGCTGCTGAAGAGTTCCCCCATATTATGATTCTTGATTGAACCTGAGCGTGATGAAACTGGAGTAAACTAGGTGTGTCTAGAAAACTTTTCAAGATTCTAATTTGGGAACATTTGGAGTGTAGAGAGCTAGTTATTTGACTAAATAGGAATATCTCGACAGCACTGAATATCATTCCTGTTGTGATACTTATACAAACCTAATAAACTTTTTTGGTGTGGGGATGAGAATCAGAAGTGGGATTTCTACAACTCAGAAGTGAAATTCGATTCAGTAAAGGATTCAGAGTATGGTACATCTTCACTCTCCCTCGTACAGTGCTTTATAGATTTTCATCATATTCTCTATGAGTGACTTGTCTGATGAAAGCA